CGGAGACTTGCCACGGTCTCCAACCCTCCTCCTTTCTCATCCGGGCTTGGGACCGGCCATGGCGCAGTTCCTAATTGTAAAAATGAAATGGCCTTCTATCCTGGATCCGCTCTCTATATTAATAAACGTCAACTTGTATAAAAGACGAACTGCAGACTGATTCTGATACAGTGAAATGACGTTCGCGACCTTAGTAACTCCAGTAAGGGCACGATGAGGTGTTTTACCATAGTTATTCGATAGACGATTCACAAAGTGTGCAGACTTGTAGAAGTTTGGTGGCGCAGCTTGCTGTTTGAGATTGGTATTGTTTTCATGTTGCATAACTTCAGGACAGACATTTAAAAACTTGGCTAGGTAATTATTACTTGGAATGACATTCTTAATTATGACTGAATATAAGCGTAATATTCATATTTGGGTCTCGTTTTAATCACCAAACTAGAGTTCCTTATTTCAGGCGAATTAAACAGCGAAAGGTTTACGTTGTGTCGACGACAAAGCGACCAGTGCCACTGGAACACTATTTGGTGAGTAGGCGCGTTGTGTTTAGAGGATTGTAGATAACTGATAGGAATAGAATCTAAGTAAATGCCATAAAAACTTACCTCAATTCCATGTGTTCATTATATTGAACTGACAGGATGCAGTGACTGGAGGCATGTACAGTGCTGTTGTTGTATTGTAATTTTCGGTTAACCTCACATCTGCCAGCGCTATTTTGCGTTTGTATCGTCACTAGATTTTCCAGTAACGTAAAGAGTTCACCTTTATTCTCTAATCATACGGAGAGTAACATATCAGATTGTTACAAGATGAGGAACAAGAACGAGCACACCTTTTCTACAATCATGAGCCAGTCGAGAAAAATTGCGCCGATAAATGTAGCGTTAAAGTTTAGCGTATGATCAAATTGGACGCACTAGCTAGAGGCGGCCATTTTGATATTCTTGCATGTGTAGAAACAAAAATTTGTTTCAGCTACTGTACAGCGCTAGCGTCTCAAAACAGAAAACATTAGCGCGATAGAGAATGAACATTTGAATTTGCTGATTGGATAGATGCAACCTATATGCGTATTCGGATAACACACAGGGTGTGAGGCAGGTTCTGATAATTACACTTTTCAGTTCTTCAGTTATTGGGCAACCTGCACTGTTTTTATTAATCTTTCCCGATACCGGTCCATCATGAGGCCGGTTTTGGTTTTACCGGCATTGTTGCATTTCGCTCTGGCTTGACGGAAATTTCGTTCTCGTCCCCTGCTTTCTGTTCTGTGTTGCTCACTAGGTAATGCGTCGGACTTAGAATCGTGTATTTCTTGATTAGAGCGTCGGGTCACTCGACTTCTCTCCCCCCGGGGTTGATGAAGAGTACCACTGTTTGGGAAGGAAGTAGGCAATTATGGACTATGTTGCCACATATATGCTGTTCGAATCTACCTTTTAAAACCGGGTACTCATGACTGATGGCATGGAAATGGCGAACGGCGCCCAGCTATTAACTGCTTGAATAGATAGCAGTCAGAAATGTTCCCATCATGAAAGTGTAAGGTAGATCGATTTTAATGGTTGCAACTTTCCTGTTTTCCTTCTGTTAACTGTACAGTGTGTTTTAGTTCATGGGCTCAGGAAAAAAGGCGGACGGAAGTTGCTTTCGCATAGTCGACTCTTCTGGAAAATTCAGTCAAGCGCAGTATGACATTTAGTCGTGTTTCAGGTTTAAGGCATGTTGTGTTCATCCAATATTTAGGTACCTGAAGGCCATCGATACCCAAAAGAACAAGAAATTTACTTCAAAAAATTGCACGGTAATTAATAGCCTCGAAGACAGACTGCGCTTTGTTTCGTTTTGGCAGTCTTTTCGGGGGACACTATGTGCTTATCTGACTTAAATGTTTTTCGCATAGGATAAGCACATGTATCTGGAGTGCGTGCAGTACCTGAAAGCTAAAGATTTGCTGCCTATGATCGCATTCACCTTTTCAAGGAGACTGTGCGAAAGCCACGCGGATGCGTTGTCTTCGGTTGATCTGACGACGACAAATGAAAAGTCGAAAATTCTGTACATGTTTAGACACTTTTTCCGAAAACTTAATCGAAAAGATCTGGATCTTCCACAGGTACGTAAATAGTTTTCAGTCAGTACATATATAGTATATTTTCTTATTTGTACATACGTAGCCACGCGGTCCTTTGTTGGGAGGGTAATTCGTTTGATGAAGTGATTTAGCATGCTCTTTTCACAAAGTACGGCGATGTCCGATTCACTTACTGAACAGGCATGCAATGCTTAATTTACTTGAAAATTAGAACTACAATAGCGATCTTCTTTAAATGGTTTCTGTGCTAAAAACAACCAGAAACGATTGCTTTAGTAAACAAACGTATAGTAAGCGCTGTCGTCTGCCTATGAGGTCAGGATGCCAAATGCGGGGTTTACAAAGAGCTCATTTTCTTTAAGTGACTTGTATCTAGCTTATTTTTTCGTTGGGTTTCAGCCTCGCTTTCTTGCTTCTGCAGTAATAGCTCGCATCCTCCATGTTGCATATTCCCGCTCTGTTGCTCTGTTTTCTCACTGCTGGGTTTTTACCGCCTTTGATGTAAATTTATTATATAATTTGAATCCATTTCTAATATTCATCATGACTATTTGTCGATTATGTGTTTGTTGAGATCGTCACCTGGAGCCCGTTTGCATAAACAGAACGTCTCTCATTTGTGTTGTTCC